TCTTTTTGTGGTGTCACCTCTTCCCCCGAGGGAGCCCTCTTAGCCAGTCACATCTGGCTCTTGTGGTGGGACCCACATCGGTTCAGAGGACCTATTCGTGTATTCTTTGCCCTGCAAATCTCTAAGCACAGGTTGACCCAGAAGCAGTAGCATTCTCCTGCCATCAAGGCAGCCAGCTGCCACCTACTGTTTAGATTTGTCAGGTGGGAGACACATGCCCATCTTCTGAGGCCCAGGGCCATCAGAGCCAGAAATGAGGCTCTCCTAAGGTTCTCTAAGGCCTCACTCTGTGAACACAGAATGAAAGCAACAGCTCCTTTCACCCATCCTACTGGGGATCACTGGACCCCAAAGACTCCCCACAATTCCTCGTAAACCTCCACCAACCCTTCTTTTCAGTCTGTCTCATATTTTGTATGTACTAGAGATAGGGGTCAACTAGAGGCACAGGCCCAGGCTTTTCAAGGTCCTGCTTGGTGTCTTCCATTTCTCTTTGGAATGTGATAGCTATTAACTCAGAGTCTCAGCCGGAACCTAGACCGAAGGCGTGCTGCTCCATCACCGTGTCACCAAATCCATTCCTGTGAAACACACAGAGGACTGCCTGGGTGGGGCACACGCCCGCGGTGATGTGAAACCCAAGCTCAGTGGCTCTCTGTTTATGTTCACTTCATAATCATTATATTTGTTTTTATGCCTGCTACCTTGTTTAATGCTTTATGAGGTTTGTTTTTTTTTTGTTTGCTCGTTTGTTTTTTTGGTACCGGAGATCGAGCTCAGGCCCTTTTGCTTACAAGGCAAGTGTCAGAACCACTGAGCTAAATCCCTGGCAGTGCTTTATGAGTTTTATATTTTCATAACATCGTATTTTTGTGTGTGTCTATGTATGTATATAGATTGTTTGATATTATCTTCAGCAGTGATTTGAAAAATACACGTACTGTTTTTAATTCTACTAGTGGTTACCTTACATTTAAAAAAAAGATATCCACATGCCTATTTATCTCACTTTAATCATCAACAGTGGAGCAGAGATCTTTGTGTACTTATTTATTTATTTATTTTATTTTTTTGGTGCCAGGGATTAAACTTGGGTCCTGTGCTTGTGAGGCAGGCAGTGGAACCACTGAGCTAAATCCCCGGCCCTACTCTAGTTATATAAGTGGGAGTTATAGAGGGTGCTACTGGGCCACTCACACTTACACTGCCATCTTCCCATGACACCCACCCAAAAGCTTTAAAAAGGCACTGACTCTGTTAAGGGTCTGTTATCTCTGTCCTGGACTTTCCTGGTAGCCATCTAGCAGTTTGCAATATTGCTAGCCCTGTTTTCCTCTTGTCTTCCATTTTGCTCCCAGTTGTATCTTTCTGAAGTTTATATCTGGGCAATTTATTCTTGGTTTAAAATCCTTTAGTGACTTCCCATTAGCTATAAGATAAAATCCTGACTCCCTACCTAGCCTGTGTACAAGGTGACAGATGATCTGACTCTACCTGAACTATATAGAGGTCCATCCCTGCTACACAAATCATTCACCCCAGCCCATCACACTGATTCACACTTTGGTTTTTAAGTGCATTAATCAAATATTCTCATGTCTCCATGACTTTGCCCATATCATCCTCACTGATAGAAGCACAGTGCCTGGACAATCATAGAATCTTGATGACAGTTAAGTTTCCCCTCCCTTTACCAGCCTATCAGAATCATTTTCACCCTCCAAGGCCCAGCTCAGTGGTCCTTGTTTCCCATTTTCAGGAAAGCCTGTCCGAACCTGACCTTCCTCCTCCCAGTACCATTGACTGCACCTCTTGTGCACCTCCCCAACCCCAGCACTTTGTACACCTAGATTGTGACACCAACATCTTGATGCTCACGCAGTCATTATCTTTCCCACCTCTTTAGCCAGACTGGAAGCTCCTGATAGCTGCCTTGTACCTGACCCCCACCAAAGACACAGCAGCCCTGCGTGAGCCTTTGAGTACAGTTGATGTTTGATTAATTTGAACAGCTTTCCTCAGACTTCAAGGTCACAGTGTCAAGCCACCAAGCAGGGCCTAGTCAGAATGGATATTTATTTATTATTCACATCACTTTGCTTCCAAACTGACAAGAGGTAGGCCTCACTCAATATGACTATTACATTAAGTTATAGAAAACGTAAGACTCCACGTGGAAGTGTTAAATTCCAGAATGCTAACTTCCCTGGGTGAACTGGTCCTGCTGAGGGAGGCTGGCACTGGACTCAAGTTCAGATGTGAATGTCTCCTTCTCTCCCTGTCACAAGCCATCACTGTGTTTGAAAATGCCTAAAATGCAATGAGGAGAATTTAAGTTCATGGCAAATATCTCATTCTTGCAGGATTTGGACAAGTGGTGAGGAAGGCATGTTGGGATTGCTGTGTGGTAGGGTGTCGGTACAGATGACCTTGTTTCTGGGGCTACATCTGAAAACCTTAGGCCCTTCCTCAAGAACAGTATATAGCAGACTTGTATAAAAAATAGATTTTACCGTAGCTTGGTACAGTATTCTTCATTCCTTTCTGGAATGGCTTTGTGATGAAGCCACAGGCATGAACATAAAATGCCAACCAAGGAAGCCATTCAGACAGAAAAACCCCTTACAAGTTTTGAGTTGAGTGTGAATACTCATAAACCCTTGTAGCACCCACATATTCTCTTTGTACTGTGTACATTAACACATCCCCAATAGATATTCTTGTGTAGACTTGTTGCAGCTGCAGGACTGCCTCCCACACTCTCATGTATACATGGTCACACAGTCTTCCTGGCTCCCCATGTCCCGTGTGCACACACATTCACAGACACCCCCACCCATGTATGCACTGGCGCACAATTCCTCTGGCTCCCCCACATCTCATGCTTGTGCACGCGCACACACACACACTCATAAATGCACTGTCACGTGGACCTTGGCTCGCCGTGTCCTATATGCACACGTGCAGCCTCCACAGGAAGAGACATGAGCTACCTTATTTCTGCACCTCACCCTGCCTCCAGATTTTTCTCCCTTAGGACAGCCTAAAGTGTCTATTAAATAGATTCAATTACTCCAGGCTCCTGAGACTTTCCAGCTTAATTCTGATTGCTTTAAGGTGTCAGATAATTTGAGGATGAAGTGGGGAAAACAGCCTCAGGGCTGTAGTCATCTCTGAAGAGATAGTTGTAGCTTTCAGGGAGGGTCTCCAGGGCTCAAAGCATCTAGCCTTATGCTTCTGGTCAGGGTTCTATCTTCAAGGACAGAGGGCCCCAGGGAGGGGCTTTCATGCTGTACATGACCTCCAAGGCCCAGCCCAACCCCTTTCTGCTGCCCTTCCTGGGAGGCTGATGGATGAAAACAGCTCCGTTTTCTGCACTGCAGCCACTCCCAAGTGACTTGTCTGTTCTCTGTCCACAGTGACAGTGATAGCTCTTAGAGGCTGATAAATAATCAGAGGTAATAGTGTTCAGAGACATCGATGCTGTGCCTGATAGAGATGGATCAGACTGGCCTTGTGCCAGTCTCTGGAGAGGGGCCTGCTTGTGTGTGCTTATACACTGTACACACTGTGATGGGCAAGGAGCAGAGAGTAAGGTCTGTAGGTGAAGGTAAACTTCGTTGACCAGCTGTATGACTTTGTGCTAGATCCTTACCTTTTCCAGGCCTCAGTTTCCTCTGATGTAAAATGGGTATGATAATAGTGCCTACCTCTTAGGTGGTTGTGAGGATCAAACTAGTTACAGTATGCAGAGAGCACCTAATATGACCCCAGCTTCTGACATTCAGCCAAAGCTCCAAGTATCTTGAATATTGTGTTTTACAAGTTACTGGACCAGATAAAGCAAGGCTGAGAGGCCAGGAAAGCCCTGAGTGTAGGGCTGGGGGTCTTCGATTGGCGGCAGAGGGACCTCCCTCCTCCTTGCTGGCGGTTCCCCCACTCTCCCACCCACTTACGCTAGGGAGATGTCTCCCCCACGGACAAGCCTCTGCCCTGGCTGGTGCTACTGAGTCCAGGGTGCACACGAGGACGTCCATGTGCTCTTCCTCAGCAGAGCCGGCGCTGATCCCAGCGCTGCTTGCACCCTCCCCCGCCCTTCTCTGAGTTGCCCTGCTGGCATTAGAATGTGTCCTGGTCCCAGCCAGGACCTCATCAGCTTTCAGACGTTAAGATGATGTTTGTAGAATTGTTATTGCCTCTCGTGGACCGTGTGTGACTCCTGGAAAGGGCCTTTGGAGGGCAGAGGTTGTGGTTCTGTTTCAGCTCCATCACTCCCTAGCTTCGTGCGTCTAGGCGTCCTAACATCCTGGAGACTTTGTTCTCAGGCGGATTAGTACTGTAACTCTGAAAGGGCCCAGAATGCGAGAGACAGTGACTGTGACCCTCCCCTCAACTGGACGGCTAAGCCCCAGATGGTAAGGACCCCACCGAGGAGACATCTCCTTCACTAAGGCCAAAGGAGGCTACCCAGGAGGGCCTCTGAAATCTGCTGGTGGGAAGAGACCCGAGTTCTCGGCCCCTCTTCCAGCACCACCGGAGCCCCTCCCCTGCCCCGCCCTCGCCCCTCTAAATCTGGGCCTCGATTTCCCATCCGCTAGCAAAGACAGGTAGTGTCCGAATTATCCCCGAGTCACATCGCAAGAAACTAAGGGACACGCTCCTCGGTGGCAGCACCTTTATTAGCCCAGGGCGGGCGCCGGTGCGGGAGGAGCCCGGATCCCGATCTCAAGTAAGGGACCGGGCACTGGGGGTGGGGTCTCCGCGAGGCGGGGCCAGGGAGGCGGGGCGGCAGTGGCTGCCTCTCTGGGCTCAGGCTCCGGCTGGAAAGCGGCGCGTGGCTGT